AAGCTGATGATCCTCTTTCCTTTCCTAGTGCTGGAAAAGATCTTGGTGCTGATGATGATGATGAAGACGACGATGAGGACGACTTCACTATTCAATACCACACCAAACCAGCTACTGCTCAGAAAGGAGTCTCTCTCAGGGAATCTTCATCCGAGGGTGAGAAGGAGAAGGAGAAAGAGACATCTGCAAAGAACTAGAACACCTCCTATAAAAACAAAGGTGTTGTTGAAGAAGGAAACCTGAAAGTTCTCTTCAAGCCTATCAATCCTCAAGGATATGTTGAACCCTCCAGGTTTGTTGTCATCACTTATCTCTATCAAATATCATCTACTATTCCTTCTACCACCGGAGGTCGTCTAGTTGAATGGGTACCTGAAAATGCAACTTCTAGTGTTCTTAGCAACCTACAAATGACTAAACTTAAGGAGTCACTTGAACAAACTAGATTAAAAATTCCTCTTCATACATCCAGTTGTGGTGAGTTCGACTTCCTTACCAAAGGTGAAAGACTCGAAGCACTCAAGGCTATGGAAGAACTCCAAATTCAACGACAATAGACTGAGGACAGCCTCAAGCTGGCCAAGTTTCTTGCCTCTCAACTTTTTCCGAAGAAAATGTCTAAAAAGACGGTGAACGTTGTCAAGGCCCAAGCTAAATTGCTCTCAATTAGAGAATCTGAATGTCAAAAAGCAATGAAGCTGAATGACCGGGATAAGAGATGGAGTGAAGATCACTTAAATAAAAGAATTAGTCCCCGTTGTATCACTAACGTCACAATCAATGGCCGTAAGAAAGATGGTGGAATGATCATCTCCTTGCTCATCATCAGAGACAACCTTGACACTATCATCGAGTATCCTTCCTAGCTTGGACAATATGACTACAACGAGTGGCTGGAAATCCGCCAGGCCGTTCAACCCTCAAAGTCAAGGCACAAGCAATAATTGAAGACATCCTCAGTGAGCTGATCAAGAAGATTTCCAAATTTGTTGTTGTACCTACAAAGCCAACGTTGAAGAAAGGTGGAAGAAGAAATCGTTCTGATCCTAATGATGGACCAACCCTGAGGAATGAACATGAAACAAAGTTCTCCCTAGAGGAAGTCCTAAAGGATTCGAAGAAGCTAGACATCTATACATTGAACCTATCTTTGCCAGCGAAGGGTCCTTACATAGCCAACTTTGTGCACCTAAAGATTGAGTTTCGATTAATATTCCTTGACTATGATGACGAATATAGCTTTCAAAGAGTGCCTGAGCTCCGTCACTGTCCTATAGAACATCTCAATTATCTAAGATATTGGTTGGACAATGACCTTTATGGTGAGATGATAGACCGCAAGATCATAAAAGAGTTACTATGTCGGAAGATGCTTGAAGAAGAAGCACCTGGTTATATCGACTTCAACGACTTAGATTAGTTATAATTTTATGTCTTGTGAATCTTATCCTTCATTATAAGTCTTATATTTCTATGTCTTTTCTTTCAGTGTACAACTTATACGTAATAAGTCTAGAATGTAATGTTGTAACACTTGTATTCCTCCTTTTGAATAATATAAGTATTTCATCAATATCCCTGGAAAAGATCCCTGAAAAGAGTAATACGGACACATGTCTATGAGTTCCAATAAGCTCTTACACTCACTGCCAATCTTCAGTCAGTGAACATGCTTTCAGTTTCATTTTCCCTTCTTGTACTTTTTCTTAAACTTGTAACTTAAGAAAACTTATATAGTAAATATTGTATCATAGAAAAAGATCCCAAAATAGTTAAAAGGGACATGTACTTTACATGTAACTTTTCCTTACTATTATAGCTTAAAGTAATTTTCTTTATGTTGCTTTGTCATCATCAAATAAGGGAAAATTGTTAATTCTCTCTCTCTCATTGATTTTGATGATCATCTCTTTTACCTATCGAACTATTATGTTTTTGTCTATTCAGTTCCAGTGATCATCACTGAGTTGGTTCAGGGATCTTTGAAACATGTATTGTAATCCTGCAGCAACAACTATACTTCAAGAAGACAACTTACACCCAAGAACCTTCACCAAATATCGAAGACTGAAACTAAAGATTAGTGACTAGTGCGTTCATGATCTGAAGCGGCATTCAGTGATTATAATCGGGTCAACATATGTGTGAAGACTGCACAAGTCTCAGTGAATATTGAAGAAACCTCCAGTGTTATGCCAGCATTAAGCAATCAAATGAAGCTTGCCATGCACTATTGTTTTTGTCTTGTCCTTCCACACACAAAGGACAAACCCATATCCTCTTAAGAGTATCGTACTGTATGGAGCCGATTAGTCGCTCTAGTGCCCACCAACTCCATGAAAGGATGTCTACTCATGAATAGACAAAAGTATTATTCACTGTAGCAAAGGACAAGCTTTCCTCTAAAAGCATGACACGTGTTCTGCCTCTTCTGAATTGGATGTAATGCAATGGGTATAAATAGTTGAGTGCTCTCTTCACTCATGCAATGCTGCCATACAAGCAAGCTAGAATTTCCCTCTAATTATAAGACACATACCTAAGAAGAACACACTTCTTGTATACATCCCCCCCTTCTATACAATGATCACCTCTAAGTCTTGTAGTTCTGGCTGGGACCAACACGGTTTTTTGAGACGTGCATACACTTTTGACAAGCGCGACCCCTCAAAATTCCATCCAATCGTGGATGAGGATGTGCTAACTTTTTCATCCTTGCATAACTTTTAAGTCGTATTTTCCTCTCTCCTTTTTCCATTTCTCTCTCCTCCTACCTATAAATATGAGACCTCTTCTCTTATTTTTCTTTACCCTTACAAAAAATTGTTGTCGAATCTCTGCTTCTAAGACTATTGCAAGCAAGAACTCAAAGAACGCTAAAAAACCTTCAACCTTCTTCTTCTAAGAAACTCTTGTTATGTTATTTAAGAACTTGATCTCTTAAGCAACTAACATCTAGATTATTAACACATTCTAATACTTGGTTATAATCTAAGTTTCTATACACTTATTCTTTTTGAAAACCCCTAAATCTTATTGTGGATTTTTCAAAAGAAGTTTTATCGATAAAAAACTTGGAGTTTACAATTTTATCTTGTGGATTTCTAACAAACTTGTGATCTTATGTTTTCTCTTGGAGTTTACAATGTCTACAATGTCTTCCAAGAACGTAAACTTCACCATTGACGAAGTGTCTTTAAAGCCCAACAACCATGTGTCGCTTGTAGAAATTTCTGCCAAAAAACCAAATTTCAAGGACGCTGCTAGATTCCTCAAGATTTCTCCTATTTTCCTTGCTCTCACCCATTAACCTATAATGGTGAAAGAAGTCCTCCAGCAGTTCTGGCTTACTACTGAAGTCATGCAAGAAACTCACAAAACTAGTAAACTGATGGATAAAATATCTTTCGCCTATAACAGGATGACCTACAGTTTTGGTGTACACGCGTTAAGGACCGCTCTCCAGCTCCCAAAGGGTCCTTATGCCAGTGAACTATCCACTGAACACATCATCTCTTGTCTAGATGATATTGGCTACACCTAGCCAACAAAGAAGAACTCTAGCGATCCCCTCAAATCGCTCTCAAATATTAAGAAGAACCGCATGTCTGCGAAAAGGCAATATTTGTTTCCCCATTTCATTCAGTGTATGGGAAGCAAAAATGGTGGACAAGACCATGCATCCAGTGTTCCATTGAACATTGTCATATCTATCATTCTCCAAAGACCAATCAACTTTGTTGGCGTTATCTTTGAAGACTTGGTGCTGAAGCTGAACAAGCGCCAAAGGGAAAAGGTAGTGCCTTACAATACATTCCTGTATATGGTGTTTTCTAAGATCTTCAGCAACAAATACGCACAGAAGGAAACTTGGCTATCTGCAGGTTTGGGTCCAGAATCTTGGATCATAAGTCTAAACCTGAATATGTTGCACTTCTCTACATTATCGATACAGCATGCGGCATGCATTGTAGTACTTTTTCATCTTCTACAATTGTGCCTACATATCCTTCTTCCCTAACTCCAGTGGTCAAGACTAAGGCAAATCCCCCTTAGTCTGTCCCAAGCACCACCACTCTCTATTCTAAAAGATCATCATCTGAAACCACTCTTGGTTTTCCATCGAATTCCAAGAAAATAAAAGGGGGCTACCCACATCCCTGGCTGTTACCTCTCAACAAGGTTCAGTCATTGAAACAAGCATATCCTCGAGGAAACTTCTGTTAAAACCTCTTTAGAAATTTTTGTAATCACTGTCGTACACATGGATCCTCTCACAACCGCCTCAGTGACCCACTTCCAACACTCTCAGCCTCTTCTCCTCTCCTTCTTCTTTGGTCTCGACACATGCTGGTGATTCATAAGTGATTGTCCTCGCTAAAGATGAAGAAATAACCCCAAGAACTGAGGTCGCTCCTCTCGAGATACCTCAATCAACGAAAGCCTATCCTCTCGAAGGCAACCAGAAGAGAACCAACATCAATCCTTTAGATGGTGCGAATGACCCCTCAGGTACTCTACCAACCTACCCCTTTATTTCTTATAACCCCAAGCTATTTTATTCTCAAACTTCTTCTTTTTTAGGTCCTTGATATGAAGGATCGTCAGCCATGGAAGAAGAATACAACATGGCTGATGATGTAAAGCTTATTCTCCCAGCTGTAGAGACTGTCTTGATCAAAATAGACGAAGTCTGTAAAGACATGGCTCTCTGAGATGAACTTTCTTCTGACCTCTCAGGTGTCAAATATGAAGTCAATGATGCGAAGGAATTGCTATATGTGGTGCAGGCCAATGTACGCACCAACATTGAGGCCATCTCTACTCTCAATAGCAAGGCCGATGAATCGTAGGCTCAACTTACTTGGAATGGTGAGCTGATGCAACAAATATTGGATCTTCTTCAACGTCCAACACTAGTTCCTGAACCCTCCTTTATTGCAGCTAATCGCCTATTGCTGGATCAAATGCTCGAACTTGATCTTCTTCTAACTTAGTCTATGGCCGAGTTTGAACAACAATTGGATATAATTGCTAAAATTCTTGATGATCTAACCTCTCGTTATGCTGCTGACAAAGAGGGGGAGAAAGACCTACCTCAAGTTTTTGTTGTTGTCCCTACAACACCAGCTGATGTTGATGCTGAAGATAAAAGAGTTGAAGAAAGTGTAATTGTTGCTGAAGTTGTAGATGTCATCACTTCCCGTGAAGCTGAAGTTGTTGCTGAAGATGAGGAAAATGTTGATCTCGTTAGAGCTGATGCTCAAGACGAAGACCTTCCTATCACCTCTATAGTTAATGCTGATGATGAGGAAGATGAGGATGATGACAAAGAAGCTGATGATCCTCTTTCCTCTCTTGATGCTAGAAAATATCTTGGTGCTGATGATGATGATGATGACGATGACAATGACGATGAGAACGACTTCACCATTCAATACCACACCAAACCAGCTGCCGCTCAGAAAGGAGTCTCTCTGAGGGAATCTTCGTCCTGGGGGAGAAAGAAAAAGGAGAAATAGACGTCTGGAAGGAACCAAAACACCTCATCTAAAGACAAAGGTGTTGTTGAAGAAGGAAACCTAACTGCTCTTTTCAAGCATATCAATCCTCAAAGATATGCTCAACCCTCCATTTTTGCTATCATCACTTCTCTCTATCAACTCTCATCCACTATTCCTTCTACCAATTATGGTTGTCTAGTTGAGTGGGTACCTCAAAACCCAACTTCTAGTGCTCCTAGAGACCTACAGATGACTCAGCTTAAGGAGTCACTCGACCAAACTAGAATAAAAATTCCTCTTCGTACCTCTAGTTGTGGTGAGTTCGACTACCTTACTGAAGCTGAAAGACTCGAAGCACCCAAGGCTAAGGAAGAACTCTGAATTCAACGTCAACAGACTGAGGATAGCCTCAAGCTGTTCAAGTCTCTTGCCTCTCAAGTTCTTCCAAAAAAAAAGTCTAAAACGATGACTGTTGTCAAGGCTCAAGCTAAGTTGATCTCAATTGGAGAATCTGAACATCAAAGAGCAATGATGCTGAAAGACCAAGACAAGAGATGGAGTGAAGATCACCTAAATAAAAGAATTAGTCCCCGTCGTATTTCTACTGTCACAATCAGTGGTCGTAAGAAAGATGGAGGAATGGTTATCTCTATGCTCATCATCAAAGACAACCTTGACACTGTCATCGAGTATCCTTCCTACCGTGGACAATACGACTAGGAAATCAACCAGGCCATTCAACGCTCAAAGTCAAGACATAAGCCAATATTTGAAAACATCCTCAGCGAGTTGATCAAGAAGATGTCCAAATTTTTTGTTGTACCTACAAAGCCAACATTGATGCAAGGTGGAAGAAGAAAACCTTCTAGTCCTAATTATGGACCAACTCTGAGGAATGAACATGAAACAAAATTCTCCGTGGAGGATGTCATAAAGGACTCGAAGAACCCAAATATCTCTATGTTGAACCTATCTTTGCTAGTGAAGGGTCCTTACACACCCAACTCTATGCACCTAAAACCTGAGTTTGGATTTATGTTCCTTAACAAGGATGGAAAACACAGCTTGCAGAGAGTATCTGAGCTCCGTCTCTATCCTATAGAACGTCTAGATTATCTAAGATATTGGTTGGACAATGACCTTTCTAGTGAGATGATAGACCACAAGTTACGAAGAGAATTTCTACATCGATAGATGCTTGGAGAAGAAGTACATGCTTACATCAACTTCGGCGACTTAGACTGGTTAAAATTTTCTATATTGTAAATCTTATTTTCTATGTTTTTTCTTTCAGTGTAAAACTTATATGTAATAAGTATGGAATGTATTTTTGTAGCACTTGTATTCCTCCTTTTCATTAATACAAGTAATTCACCAGTATTACTGAAAAAGATCTCTGAAAAGAGAAATAGGGACACATGTCTAGGAGTTCTAGTTTGCTCTTACATTCACTGACAATCTTCAGTCAGTAAACATGCTTTCAGTTTCAGTTTCCCTTCTTGTGCTTGTTTTTCTTAAACTTGTAACTTAAGAAAACTTATATAGGAAAATTTGTATCACTGAAAAAGATTCCAAAATAGTTAAAAAGGACATGTACTTTACATGTAACTTTTTTTACTATTATACCTTAAACCAATTTTCTTTTTGTTGCTTTGTCATCATCAAATGGAGGAAATTGTTGATCCTCTCTCTTATTGATTTGATGATAATTCATTTTACCCATCGAAGTATTATGTTTTTGTCTATTCAGTTCCAGCGATCGTCATTGAGTCTGTTTAGTGATCGCTAAAACATATATTGTAATCCTACAACGACAGTATACTTCAAGTAGACAAAACTCATACCCAAGAACCTTCAGCAACTGTCGAAGACTAAAGCTGAAGATTAGTGACTAGTGCATTCATGATCTGAAGCGGTTGTCAGTGATTACAACCTCGTCAACATATGTGTGAAGACTGCACATGCCTCAGTGAATGCTGAAGAGACCTCCAGCGTTATTCCAGCATTCAACGATCAAATGAAGCTTGCCATGCACGATTGTTATTGTCTTATCCTTCCACACACAAAGGACAAACCCATACCCTCTCAAGATTATAGTATAGCATGGAGCCTGTTAAAACCCATATCTGACAATAGAACAATTTAATAAAGGAATTCAAGAGAGATTTGTAGAAGAAGAAGATGAAATAGAAATCGACG